GCGTTAACTTTATATTCAATTGATGATATAGTAACTAAGATTTTAAAACATAAATCACCTCAATATTTTATTTTAAACTTTTTATTGCAACATTAAATTTATTTTCATTTGAATCTAACTTTCTTTAGACAAAGAGCTACGAACAATATTATTGGAATTTTCAATTTTGAAACAGTGCACTCGACATTTTTTCCTATTTTTTATATATGACCTTTAAATACAACTATATAGATTTAAACGATTTTAATAAGGAACTGAGTTTTGATATTTTTTATCCTTATATCTTTGCAACCCAATGTCGTAGACCTTTTTATATAAAACTATGAGTTCTGTTAGATCCAGCAATTCAAGTTTAAAATATCAAAGGTTTGCAACATCAGAGTGCATAAATATAGGGAATAAACCATTTGATTTGATGAAAAAATCTTAACAAACTATAAAATTATTTTAATTTCTATTTCAGGTGAGTATTCTAGTGTCGCTGTCACAAAGTCAGCTGACAGGATTGATAAACAAAGACCTGAAAACTCAAGGAGCAAATCTTCAAGATTTCAACAGTGGCGCTCATTTAGAGGAAGCCGTTGTTGAGAAAGACAGTAAGTGTACATTTCACATTTTTTTTGCAATTAAAATAGAAAATTTTAAATCAATATAAATATAAATCAGCTTTTCATTAAGCAAAAAAACGTCCCCAGGCGGACCTAAATCACAGCAATCTCACAATAGAAGGGAATGATTCATTTGTTTTGTTTTGCCTTTCAAAGTCTGTGTTTACTGTACTACCTGTTCTAGCCAATCAAGAGTCGATCCGGCACTTCAAATGAACAAGAGTTTTCAGTGCTGGAAACTTTTATGTTTGATTCTTATAATTCCGATCTCTTGATCTCGATATTCACTGTGGGTATTTTAAGTTTGAGGATTAATGCTTGATCTCTTTAGTTCAATTATTCCTCCCATGTAAAATACATCAGTCCTTACCTGGGTACTATTACCATGCTAAATATCTAATAAAGATTAAACTAATTTGCATATTAACGAAAGATCAAGATCAAGCATTTATTTCGATATCCACAGTACACAAAATATTAGCTCAGTTAATTATGGTTCAAACTTATACCTATACCTTTAAATATTCGCGAACACTACCTTAAAAATAATATTAAGTAAGATATATATCTTTTTAAAGAAAATGATGTGGTTGAAGATGTTCGGGTTTCCTGTAATAACGATGATATCACTCTCAGGTCAATAATTTAATCATAATATTTAATTCAGAAATAAAATTATGATTTTTTAAAGATTTATTAAAATTCGCAATAACAATTAATACGTTTTTAGTCCTGCAGAATTTAAATTTATATTATTAAAAACAAATAATAATAATAATAATAATAATAATAATTATAATATTAATAATAAACCTCACTGAAGATTAAAGCAATTAAACACCGTGTCTGAGGATGTAGTTCTGTTTTTTGATTGAAAAATAAATTGATTAATAATATTTTTTTTTTAGTTTGACTATACGGGGTCATTACTTCAATGGGATGATCTACCCAAAGGGATTGTCCAAAAACTCAACCTGCCTCACTGAGTACATCAATAAAGAGGTGACCAAGACTTAAATCTGAATTTAAAAAAAAGACTGTTCTAGCATTTTTTAGCACTTTTGTTGCTAAAAATATTTTTTCCAAATCCATCGCCTTTTCATACCAAAAACAATATAAATTATATGTAAGGGGTTCTTAAGTTTTTCACTTTTTAAATCAAGAAAAACTATATGCCAGTAAAAGTAAAAGTAAAAGTAAAAGTAAAAGTAAAAGTAAAAGTAAAAGTCAAATTATTGCTTATCAATATCAATGTAGATTGTAGATGTTGCATATATTGTTAATTTTTTTTAAGAATAAAAACAAATTCAAATAATACATTTTCTTCTAGGGGAAGATAATTTACACTATTCCACTGAGGTCGTGCAATACAATGTCAACAGATGTGGAGGATGGAATAGAATACTTTAATACTGTGGTTATACAACCCCATAGGTTAGTATATGTATGTGATTTTACAACCCCATAGGTTAGTATATGTGGTTATACAACCCCATTGGCTAGTATATGTGGTTATACAACCCCATAGGTTAGTATATGTGGTTATACAACCCCAAAGTGGAGAATAGTTATAGAATTCTTTATGAATACCGTGATTTTACAACTGCACGTTTGTTGGGACAGTCGTCTTCCAATTCCACAGTTTTTAGTCTCACTGTCTCCATCTCTGGTGTATTCTAGTATTTAATTGACTTCTCCAAATTTTCACAATTTAAGCATTACCCTGTTAGTAATTATGAATACATGTTTAAATGTCGTCTTGTGTAACCGGAAAATTGGTAAACTGTAAATCCAATTCAAACTTTAATTGTATAAATTTGCAAGGTTGAAAACAAGGTTAGAGAAATAATGATAGAACAAATCACCAACTTTAATTAAACTTTAAATTTTAATCAAGATTAGATTTTTTTATTCAAACTTTGAAATAAAAGTTTATGAAACTTGAGAAGTTGTGACTGAGTGATCAATGAGAGTTGTTGATTTTATAGTTTAGAAAGCTTATGACCAATGAGAGTTGTTGATTTTATAGTTTAGAAAGCTTATGACCAATGAGAGTTGATGATTTTATTGTTTAGAAAGCTTGTGGCCAATGAGAGTTGTTGATTTTATTGATTAGAAAGCTTATGAGCAATGAGAGTTGTTGATTTTATTGTTTAGAAAGCTTGTGGCCAATGAGAGATGATGATTTTATTTTTTAGAAAGCTTGTGACCAATGAGAGTTGATAATTTCATTGTTTAGAAAGCTTATGACCAATGAGAGTTGTTGATTTCATTGATTAGAAAGCTTGTTACCAATGAGAGTTGTTGATTTTATTGATTAGAAAGCTTGTGACCAATGAGAATTGGTTTTTTTATTGTCTAGAAAGCTTGTATCCAATGAGAGTTGTTGATTTTATTGTTTAGAAAGTTTGTGGCCAATGAGAGATGATGATTTTATTTTTTAGAAAGTTTGTGACCAATGAGAATTAATGATTTTATTGCTTAGAAAGCTTGTTACCAATGAGAGTTAATGATTTTATTGTTTAGAAAGCTTAGTGACCAATGAGAGTTGTTGATTTTATTGTTTAGAAAGCTTGTGACTAATGAGAGTTGGTGATTTTATTGCTTAGAAAGCTTGTGACCAATGAGAGTTGATGATTTTATTGCTTAGAAAGCTTGTGACCAATGAGAGTTGGTGATTTTATTGCTTTGAAAGCTTGTGACCAATGAGAGTTGATGATTTTATTGCTTAGAACGCTTGTGACCAATGAGAGTTGTTGATTTTATTGTTTTGAAAGCTTGTGACAACTGAGTTTTGATAT